GCTAATAGCTCCGTTGACTAAACGGGGAAACAGCAGATGTGCAATATCTGGGAGTGGCTCTTGAACCAGTGACCTCTCAGTGTTGCGTCAGCGCTTTTTTTGTAAATAAACAAAAATTATCCAGAACCGAAAACACGAAACCCACGAGCTCCACCACGTCTGTACCTACTGGATTATGGCAAAGGACCCCCCGACCCACCTTGAGTTGGTCGTCGTAGAACAGGCGGCTAGGCAGGTCCATGAGGGGGGCGGCACTGCGATAATTCCGAACCAACATGACCCCGCGGAGCCGCGAAAAAGCATCGTGGTGCTTGCAGTGGTGCTGGCAGAGGTTTTGGTTGTGGTAGTTGTGCTGATGTTGGTGGTTTGCTAGAAGTGGCTGCTGCTGCGCCACCTGCTGCTGCTGCTGCCGCTGCTGTTGCCGCTGCCCCTTGCGGCCGTCATCGTCATCTTGGCGACCTTCTCCTCCACAAGCCCAGCGACTGCTCGAGCTCGGTCCAGGTGGCCCTCACGTCCGGCCGCCTCCATCATTAGCTCCAGGAGGGAGGTGGCCAGACCGCCACGTGCGGCAGATGGGCTGGTGGAGGGAGCGGGACACAAAAAGATCGGCAACAAAAACATATTTTTTAACCATATTTTACTTAGGGTATATAATAAACAATAAATAATATAATAATAATAAAATAACAATAATAAAATAACAATAATAAAATAATAATAATAAAATATATAATAATAATAATATTAATACAGGGCATAAATACAGTAGTAAGTTAACAGTATACATACTCAGGCGCCGTTGATCCGCTAGATTTGGTTGGATGCTGGTGGTGAGTTGCTGAACCCAACGAATACATTCTGAAGTCGGATGGGGTGAACGGATTAGGGTGCCCCTCTCGCAGGGGAGAGCAGGGAACTGCCTCGGGAAAGGGGGCCGCTGGTGAAGCTTAACCACCCTGTAACAAGATACATACTCAGGTCTGGCACTACTGGTAGAGCACGCATCAATGCCCCCGGGAGATCCCGGGATCGAGACCTGTAAAGGTCGAATAATCCTTCTGATAGTATACGATGAGGTGACCCTAGTCTAAGGAGGATTCTGATCTGGGGCAAAATAAGACAGGAATAGAGTTAACTCGCCGTCGGTTCGGCAAATTCCATTGGAATGTCGGTGGTGGGTGCGGAACCTAGATTAATAGGGTTCCCCGAAATACCGGGGAAGGCAGGGTTTCGCCAGGTAGCGGCCACGGGTGAAGATATACACCCCCGTCCCACACATCATACAGTAGTGCCAAGGCGGGATGGTGCCCGGAATGCCCTAACATACAGAAGACATTATCTAACGTTTTGGAAGCTATCAGGAAGCTTATAATAGCATTATAAAGAATGAGGCACTAGTTATTCGTTCGTTCACTTCAGGAAATTGTATTTCGAGATGGAATTCGGTCCGAATCAAACCGACCCGTGGAAGCACAGCAGGCACGGCATGGCGTGCTATAGCTAGGCAGGGGTTGATTAGCGGGAGAGCAGGAGTTGTACGGCTCCCGGGGCAGTGACGCCGCGTCGCATGCTACCTGTCGTACGCCAAGTTCTATGCCGTACCTGCGGACCACAGGCTCCAACTGGCGTGGGTCCCCGCACAGCATGGCGGCACCTGTACGACACATGAAACGTACGGCGAAACAGGCACATAGACCAACACACGTGTGGGGAGGTAAGAAATCCTTTTCTTAAGAATCACACGACCAAACCGCCGTACAGCGGTTGCCTTAACTGCTCCTGGGCACAGCGCCTGGCGTGGTTGCTGGTCAGGGGAGCGAAGTCCGGGCACCGGATGAGAAATGCCGCACAGTCAGTATTCACCGACGAGTGTACGACAATACGTCTCCGGTCCCCCAGCCGTACCTCCAGGCGCTCGGAGGGTCAACGGGATGAGTACCTCGGGCAGAAGGGCCTGCGAGGAGTCACCGGGGGAGGGCGGATTTGAAAATAAAAATTAAAGAATTTAAAAAATTAAAATTAAAAAATACATTATATTTTATTTCTTTCACTGGACAGACGGACGGGGAACATAATCCAGTCAAGTTTTGAAAAGCCGTAAATGACATTCGCCAGGAGGCCCCTCTCCATTTCCCATCCTAACCCCGTCCCACTCTGCCCTCCCAGAGCCCTCCGCGGCCAGGAAAGCACCTGGCCGGCCTCGTCCACCAGCACATGGCTGAACAGGACGGCGCTACTGCCATTGATGCTACTGCTATTGCCGCCGCCGCCGCCAGCATTGCCGTTAGCAGATGAGGACGCGGATGCCTTCCGTGCAGCCTTCGGTTGTTGCTGCTGCTGAATTGATCTCAGGGGCTGCAGGAGGGCGGAGCTCTCATGCAATATTCCCGCGGCGCTGCAGCTGCAAACGACCACCTGTGTGTGCGTATGTATGTACGTGTGTAGGGCGGGAAGGGGGGATGAGAAGGTAGCGTTGAGAGGGTAGAGATAAGGAGGCCCGAGCGGGGGGTTCAGCCATGTACGGCAAGGATGGCAAGTATTATCCCCCCACTTGTGCGGAACTTGTAACTTGTAACTTGCAACCTAAGGAAGGTTATTGAAGTAAATGTTCTTAGGTAACAAATGCTATGCGGGCTACTCACTACTTCGTTTTCAAGCGCGCAACAAAGGAAATGTTGTAAGAGTAGCAACAATGTCCATAGAAATCATATGTACGGCAAAATATTACGGCAGAAGTACGTCAGCCTTTACCTGTGCACGATCGAGTTCCTGAGGGGTCGGCAGCCGAAATGCGGCGGTCGCCTCATCGATGAGGCGGGCACAAGCGATGGACGCGTGACCACAGAGGGTGCTGGCGAGGGGAGCGCCGCCTAGAGTGCTATGAGTCGTGAGGCTAAAGACATCAGGGTCTTGCTTTGGAACGTGTGGGGTTTGTCGGTAGCTAAGCTCACCGACCCATCTTTCCTCCGCATTGCCCAGGACCACGATGTGCTAGTATTTACGGAAACACACTGTTCGGCGCAGGCCGGGAAGCCGGCCAAGGCCCTGGCCCTGCCAGGGTTTCAACTGCATGTAGCTGAGCGAGCCTGTAGAGGCGGAGCCGGGCCCCAGACGGGCCGGCTGCACGGGGGTGTGTCTGTTTATATCCGGGACGCGATTGCCCGGGATGTCACTTTGTTGAGGGTTGACACGGATATTGCGGGCTGCGAGTCTATTTGGTTGCGTTTGGGCGGCAAGCAAACAGGTCGGGATGGCACCCTGGTGGGTGCATGCTACGTCTCCCCCAGGGCGTCGGTAGTACACCACGCGTCCCTGAGGGCACACGAGTCTGACGGACAAGCAGCAGACGAAGTGTTTGATCATCTGGCCACCGTCGTGGGCGCCCTCCGCCAGTCGGGTGAGAGGATCCTGCTTCTGGGGGATTGGAACGCGCGCGTGGGGGGGCTGCCCAACCACCTCTCCGACATCCCGGACCTAGACTATCTTGACGATTTAGGAGAGGAGGTCGGGTGCCCTTTTGTGGACGGCGAGGCATACAGAGCACTGCTGGGTGTGCCCCGCCGGTCGCTAGATCAGGAGCATAATGCGTTTGGACGTAAACTGCTCGAGTTGTGCCGGGTTTCAGAGGTTGTCATTCTCAATGGGCGGGCACCGGGTGACACTGAGGGCAGGCTCACATACGAGTCCAGCCGGGGGGGAGGCAGCATGATTGACCTTGTGCTTGCGTCCCCTTCTTTGTACCCGTGCGTGCGTTCCTTCCGTGTC